CCCCATTCAACCTTCTTAAAAGAGCTTTATGTACTCACTTTCTCCAATTCCTTTCCTCCCACCTTCTCTTAAGCCCACTTCAATCTGGCTTTTACCCCTACAACTCCACCACTTGGCTTCTAAGATCCTGCTTTTCTTCAGTTTTTCCTGCCTTACTGAATACTCTTCAACTTTCTTCACTGGTTTCTCCTTTCTCTTCAATCTCTTAATGTTGGTGTCCTGAAGCTTCTTCCCTTCTCTGTCCATACTCATTGCCTTGCTTATCCACTTCATTCATATGACCTTAAATTTGTTAAATACAATTATGTGCTATCCAATGACTCCCAGTTTTTTTCTCCAGCTCAGATCTCTCTCCTGAACCCCAAGAGTATATACCGCCTACCTGACACCTATGCTTGCATATGTGGCAAATCTCTCACATTTAATATGATCAAATCTGAGCTCTCAATCTTTGCCCTCAGACTTACTGTACTCACAAGTCTTTCCCATCTCAGCTGACAGCAGCTCCATCTAAAATTCTACCATTTCTTACGCAAATCTTTGCTCCCATCCTGGCCTGAGACATCATCATATCTCTGTTGAAAACTGCAATTAGCTTTACCTTGCTTCTTTCCACAGTATAGTTGCAACACAGAAGCCTTTTAAAATGTAAGTTAGATCATATCACTTCTCTGCTTAAAATCCTTAGTGGTTTCTCACCTTATTCAGAAAAACAGAAACAAAATCTTTACAATGGCCTACAAAGTCTTAGATTTTCTACCTCCCTGATATTTCTCTCACCTCCTCTCCTCTATCCTCTTCCTTCACTCTCCTCTAGCCACAGTGGCTCATATATGTCATGTATTGTCACTAATCCTCAAAGGCTATTATTATTCCCATTTTGAAGATGAAGAAACTAGAGCCCAGAGAAGTTCAGCTCCTTGGCTAAGGTCAACAGGAAAGGCCAGGATTTAAAGTCCGTTTAACTCTGAGATATGCCTCTTGATTATATCATGCAGTCTCATATTAACCTTTTTTCTTCTAATATAGATGCAAATACATACTGGAATTTTATTATGACAAGTGTGAGATTTCATACCAGTAGAGAAATGGTGTTGGAACAAATGAACACACACCTGGAAAAGAAAAAGTAAGCTAAATCCCTTCTCACTTTTATACCAAATTGAATTCCAGGTAGAGCAAAGATTTGACTATTAAAGTGAATCCATCAAATTTCTAGAACAAATCACAAGTGGAATTATTTATAATATTAGAGGGGAAAGGTCTTTATGAGCAGAAACCCAGAAACACAAATCCAGAAGCACAAAAATGAAAGATTGATATAACCAGTTCATAAATATTTAAAACTGCTACATGGCAAAATACCATAAACAAAGTCCAAGACAACTTATGGGAAAAATTATTTGCAATGTACATGGATGTCAGACAAATAGCTAATTTCCTTAATTTACTAAGAGCTAGTAAAAAAGTCAAAAAAAAAAAGACAAACAGTCCACTTTTAAATAGACAGAGACACACACAAGCAGTTTACAGGAAAATAAAAGGACAGCTTGAATCAACTTAAATTGAGATTTTTCCCAATGGCGCTCCGGGCCCTGTAGCCCTCTCAGGTGGTGGTAGATTCATTCCTTGGACCTTTGGACCTCTTCCAGGCCGTTACTCCTCCCCTTACCTTTTCCTGTTTATAACTCTTTCAAGTCACTCACCAGATTCAGCTGTGACTTGGCAAGTGACTCACCATCAATCCCTGTCATAAATGCCAGGGGACCTCAGTGTCCATACAGGCAAGCAATCAAATAAATGACCTCCTAGATCCTTGTCTTCTTCATCTCCAATGTCCTTCTTTTTACCCTCCTCACCCACTCCAATGGGACACCTTGAACTTTTCATTTTCTGTAACTGCTCATCCTCAAAATTTTCTATTTCAGATAACCCAGGCTCTTCTAATAATAGACTTTCTTTCTAATTTGTATTGTCAACTTTATCAGAACTTCAAGTTTATGAATACTTCTATTTTCTTTCAAGTCATTAGTCCTAACCACCCACCAGCTTTTTTTTTTCACTTGCTTACTTACCCATCTTACATTCCATGAACCATTATTTCACTAATATTCTTGCCAATACCCTAAAATTACCCTCTGTCCTTCCCTCCCAGGCCTGCACCAACCCAGGTACTTTTTTTTTTATGCCTACAATCTATTACCAAGCATTAATGGAGGAAGCAACTGGGTCTCATTTTATATTAATAAATAATGGTTCTCCCTACCTATAATCACATCTCAGGCCACTTGTTATTATTTCAGAGAAGACTTCCCAGATCCCCCTGGCTAAGTTGTTACCCTGTTACATATGCTCTCACAGTACTGTGTTCCTCTTTTTCATCACACCTATCAGAATTACAATTTTATATTTATCTTACATTCTCGGATAAACATCTGTCTTCACCATGGGACTGTAAGGCTCATGAAGATGACACTAGCTGGGAAGAAGATTTTCACTTTTCATTTTATTCTATTTTGTACTGTTTGAATGTTGTAGCCATCTATTAAAGGATTTTTTTAGAGGTAAAATCATGACTCATGCAAATTAAAATGAATTGATGTCAGAATTTGATTTAACTCATCAATTATTGAGAAAATCAGTAAGATGTTATAACCAGTTCAAAGGAGAATTCTAAGAATCATGTGAATATGGAAAATCAGGAATGCTAAAATGAATTTGTAAATAGCTGAAAAATAGATCTATCCTCAGGAAAATAATTAATTGAATTCTAGTGGACACAATCATCTGCATTTCTATGGACAAAAAAATCATTTGCATTATTACCAATTTTCTACAATATATAAAGTTGTAAAATAGCTCCAAAACAATGAAAGGCTGAGATAAGCTGGAAGAGCACACTCAAGATGATACATAGTAATATTTTTTAACTACTTTAAAATTTTTCACAATTTTTCTTGCTAGATCTATATATGTTTATTATATGCTAATAGGTAAATAAATGATTACCTAATTTTTAATAATGTCAGCAAAAGTTATCTACGTAGAGGATTATGGTATATCCTTCTATATGTGTTTATATACCAGAAAACTCATAAATTTAAAGAAGTAATTAGATCATCTGTGTCTTTATTTACTTCTTATTTTACGTTAAGCATAATATACTACAACATATGATTACTTGTATAAGTTATTGGTCCACCTAAAATTATTCCTCCCTACCAAATTTGCACTTACGTATGCCATTGTGATAAAGCAATTGGTAGAAATCAAAATCAGTACTATACGTTAAAACAGTGCTAGGTGTATATTTAGAATTAACACCAAAACTATTATATGCTTGTTGTTTATTTTTAAAGACAAGAATTATCTATACCCACACAATGCTCTTAATTTGCCTGGCAATAATTACTCCAGTGTTCTCCTTCTTTCTGATGAAAAAAAAAATTCAAAAGGTGACTACCCACAATTTGTATAACATAAAGAAAAGGAAAAGTAGCAATTTCCACAGACTATTATTCTTAATTAAAATTTTTATTGAACTAATTTTAGATTCTCATGTAACTGTAAAAAATAATACTAAGAAATCCCCCTCACACTTTGCCCAATTTACTTTATTGGTAACATTTTGCAAAACTATCATATAATATCCAGGATATTGACATTGAAATCTTAGATCTCCTCAGTTTGACCAGCATTCATCTGTTTTGTGTGTTGCATGTATGTGTGTATGTGTGTGTGTGTGTAAGTTATATTATTGCCTGTGTAGGCTTATATATCCACTACCACAGTGGAGATAAACCACAAGGGCCTAAATGTAAGAAGTAAAACTATAAAACTGTTAAAAGAAAATATAGATATAAATCTTTGTAACCTTGTATTAGTCAATGACTTCTGAGAGATGACATCAAAACCACAAGCAACAGCAAATAAATAAATCAATAGTAATTGACAATTAAATTTTCAATAAAGTTATGGAAATTTAAAATTTTGTGCTTCAAAGTACGCCATTAAGAAAGTGAAAGAACCAGGCATGTGGTTTGAGCCTATAATCCCAGCTACGTAGGAGGCTGAGGTGGGAGGATACCTTGAAGCCAGGAGTTTGAGCAACAGAGGGAGACTTTGACTCTAAAAAAAAACCAAAAAAAAAAAAAAAAAGGTTGGGTGTGGTGGCTCATGCCTGTAATCCCAGCACTCTGGAAGACTGAGGTGGGTGGATCACCTGAGGTCAGGACTTCGAGACCAGTCTGGCCAACATGGCAAAACCTTGTCTCTACTGAAAATACAAAAATTAGCTGGGCGTGGTGGTGCATGCCTGTAATCCCAGTTACTTGGGATGCCGAGGTAGGAGAATTGCTTGAACCCAAGGTGGGGTGGAAGTTGCAGTGAGCCAGGATCACGCCACTGCACTTCAGCCTGGGTAACAAGAGTGAAACTCCACGAAAGAAAAGAAAGAGAGAGAGAGAGAGAGAGAGAGAGAGAGAGAAAGAAAGAAAGAAAATGAAAGGACAACCCACAGAATGGGAAAAAATTCTTATAAATAATTTATCTGGTAAAGGATTTTTATTTATAATATGTAAAGAACTCTTACAACTCAATAATAAAGACAACCCAGTTTTTAAAAATGAACAAATTGTCTCATGGACATTCCTCCAGATAAGATATACAAATGACCCATAAGTACATGAAAAGATGCTTGAGATCATTAACCATCAGAGAAATGCAAATGAAATCCACAGTGCAATACCATTTATACCCACTAGGACGGCTAGAATCAAGAAGAAAGATAATGACAAGTAAATAGAGAAATTGGAACCCTCATATATTGCTGTTGGGAAAGTAAAATGGTGCAGCTGCTTGGGAAAGCAATCTGGCAATTCCTTAGATGGTTAAACATAGAGTTACTATGTGACCCAGCACCTCCATTTTTTATATCCAAGAGAAATGAGAATATATGTCCACACAAAAACCTGTAGACAATTGTGCATAGATGTACTATTCACAACAGCCAAAAAGAAAAAAAACAAGCTAAATATCCATTAGCATATAAATGGATAAATACAATGTGGCAGAAAAATACAATAGCATATTTCACTGGACAATACAAGGGAATGAAGTACGGTTATATGATATATTATAGATAAACCTTAAAATCATCATGCTAAGTGAAAGAAGCCAGTCACAAAAGACCAAATATTCCATGATCACATTTATATGAAATGTACCAAGTAGGCAAATCTAGAGAGAGAAGGTAGACTAGTGCTGTGGAGGGAGAAATAGGGAACTACTGCTAATACTTACAGGGTTTCTTTTTGAGGTGGTGGAAATTTTCTAAAATTGATTGGGAGAATGGTTGCAAATATCTGTGAATATACAAAAAAATTGAATTATACACTTTCAGTGGGTGAATTTTATGGTATGTGAATTATATCTCAATTAACCTGTTATTTATTTTTTAGAGGTTGGGGGGAAATGGTATATCACAAGGATCCTTCAGGTTGCCCTAAATCATACCTACCTTCTTCCTGCCACTCCCTATCCTTATTTCTATTCCATGGCAACCACTAGTCTGCCCTCCTTTCTAAAATTTTGTCATTTTAAAAATGGTATGCAGTCATAAAAAAAAAAAAAAGAAGAAGAAGATCATGGCTTTTAAATGAACATGGATGGAGCTGGAGCCTGTTATCCTTAGCAAATTAATGCAGCAACAGAAAACCTTATACCGCATGTTCTCACTTACAAGTGAATGCTAAATGATGAGGACTCACGAACAGAAAGAGGGGAACAACAAACACTTGAGAGGTACTGGGTTTACTACCTGAGTGAAGAAATAATCTGTACAACAAACCCCTGTGACATGAGTTTACCTATGTAACAAACCTTCATATATACCCTCCAACCTAAAATAAAAAAAAAAGAAGAAAAACTTGTATAGATGAGATGATGACTGAAGGAATAACTGAACATAATGAAAAAACTCAGAAGTTGGTTTGCCTCATTACCTGATGTAGTAGTTCAAAGTGATTAAATTATCATTTATTTAAAGAAATCACCAGTAAATAAACATGTAGATAGCATGGGTCTCTAGATATGATGCACAGAAAGAGCAAACACCACTTTGTATTCCTGCCAAAAATGAATAACCTGAATCTAACTTCAAGGAAGCACTGGAGAAACCCCAACTGGGGGACATTCTATGAAATAACTGCCCTATACTTCTTTTTTTTTTTTTTTTTTTTTTGAGACAGTTTCATTCCCACTGCCCAAACTGGATTGCAATGGTTTGATTTTGGTTCACTGCAACCTCTGCCTCCCAGGTTCAAGCGATTCTCCTGCCTCAGTCTCCCAAGCAGCTAGGACTGCAGGTGCGCACCACTGTGCCCAGCTAGTTTTTGTGTTTTTTGTAGAGACAGGATCTCAACATGTTGCTCAGGCTGGTCTCAAACTCAAGCTCAAGCAATCCACCTGCCTTGGCCTCCCAAAGTGACTGACCTATACTCTTAAACACTGTTGATACCAAGAAAGATAAAACAAAGATTTGATGATCAGATTAAAAAATAAAGATATGTGACAACTGAATGTAATGCAATATCCTGAATTGGATCCTCAGCCAAAAAAAAAAAAAAAAAAAAAAAAAAAAAGCCATAAACAACATTATTGGGAAACTTGACAAAATTTAAAGACAAACTGTTGTTTAGGTAGGAATATCATATCTATGTTAAATTTCCTGATTTTGATCATTGTATTGTAAAAAATATCTTTGCTCTTAGGAAACAAAGACTATATAGTTTTGAGCACAGGTGTATAAATGTCTACAACTTACTCTCAACTAATTCAGGGGGGAAGAAATCTATGTTTAGGCTGGTCTGATGGTAGTGGGCTATCAGAACTTACTAATATTAGTGTCACTAAAGTTGGTATACAACCCCCCACTGCTAAATTTGACTAGCTTAAGAAAAACTATGTTTATATATAAAGAAATAAACATGATGAAATAAATGAGGCAAAACTTTCACAATAGGTTGTTTTGACTAAAAAAATAGTTCTTTTTATTCATGCAAGTATTTTCACTTTTTTTTTGTTTTTTGTTTGTTTTTGTTTTTTTTTTGGAGACAGAGTCTCGCTCTGTCACCCAGGCTGGAGTGCCTCCTGGGTTCAAGCGATTCTCATGCCTCAACCTCCCTAGTAGCTGGAATTACAGGCACGCACTGCACCACACCCAGCTAATTTTTGTATTTTTAGTAGAGATGGGGTTTCACCATGTTGGCCAGGATGGTCTTGATCTCCTGACTTCGTAATCCGTCTGCCTTGGCCTCTCAAAGTGCTGGGATTACGGGCATGAGCCACCATGCCTGGTCTTGCACATTTTCTAATTGGATTGTATGCTTTTTCATTGTCGAATTTGGATATTTATATACTTATTATAAAGACTAGTCCTTTGTTGGATAGGTGGTATGTTAGTTTCTTAGGGCTGCTATTACAAATTACCACAAGTGGGGTGACTTAAAACAAAAGAAATTTATTCTTTCACAGTTCTGAAGGCCAGATGTCCAAAGCCAAGCTGTCAGCAGGTGGTACTCCCTCTGGAGGCTCCAGAATGAAATCCATTCCTTGCCTCTTCCAGTTTCTGGCAGCTGTCGGCATTCCTAGGTTTGTGACATCTTTCCCTCTGCTAGTCTTCACGTCACCCTCTCTTGTGTCTGGCTTGTGGCCTCATGACTATGATTTCTGTCTTCATCTTCATATTGCCTTCTCTCTGTATGCGTCAAATTTCTCTCTGCCTTATTCTTACCAGGCTGCTTGAGATGGAACTAAACAAACACTGATTTTGATCATACTTGACTATTCTTATTATTCCTTTAATGCTTATATCCCTTTTAATGATCCGTAAGTGTTTATTGGTTCATGATATCAGCACATGACACAAAACCAAAATTAGCAACAAAATAACATAGCATCAATAATTTGCGTTTCTGGTATAAAGCTTTAACAAAAATGATGTAACCCTGGCATGTGTGTATGTATCCCTTTTCCTCTGGGACTTACACTGACATTAGCCATTCACAAAGACTTCCTCACATTTGTAAGTGGTAGGCCTTTATACATTTGAATGATTTGATTTTAATGTCAAAGCAACATCAATAAATGTAAATGTATTTAAAGTATACAGCATCATGATTAAGGACACAGGCCCTGAAGTCAGATTGACAGCAAAGCTTGTACCTGGCTTCATGCTTACTAGATTCACCACATTACGCCTCAATTTCTTCATCTGAAAAAATAGGTTTAATAACACTGCCAACTTTATAAGCTTTATCAAGAGGATAAAACAAGTTAATTCATATAAAGCACTAGTATTTTCCTGGCACAAAGTATGCCCTCATTCAGTGTTAGCCATTATAATTCAACTAAATGTTCATGTCTCGCTATGCTAAGAGAAATGGGAACCACTAAAAAAAAAAAAAAACTATAAGACATGAATCCCACTATACAATAAATAATAGCCTTATGAAAGCAATACATATGCATATTTCTGAAAAACACAAATGAAACATAAAAACAGCATAAAGTGCTATATATTCCTTGTAGTCTTCTGCCCACTTTATGCATGCATGCATGTACAAACTCTCCAAAGCCTGTTACTACTGAGCAGAAGAAAGTACTAAACTAATAAAAGCAGATATCAGAAAAATACAGTCACAAAACATTTTCATGCTTTGCTCTATTTCAGTTTTGACAATTTTGGACACCAAATTACTAATTTTTGTATTGCTATTCAAGTTAATGCACACCACACTCTATGATAAGTATTGTATTAAACTCTCTCAAAAGATTTTTAAAAATATTAATTCCGGAGAGGAGACACATTAATATATTTTTTGATTGCCAAATAAACAGAGAGGAGTTTACTTTTTTTCTTTAAAAACTAAGGAGATCATGAGAGAACATGAACCAGAAAGAAATAATAAAAATACAAAATAATAATAACTAAAGAGAAGCCCGAGCATGGTGGTTCATGCCTGTAATCTCAGCACTTTGGGAGGCCAAGGCAGGAGAGTGGTTTGAGCCCAAGAGCTCGAGACAAGCCCAGGCAGGCAACGTAACAAGACCCTGTCTCCACAGATTTTTTTTTTTTTTTTTTTTTAATTAGCTGGACACAGCAATGGCATGCCTATGGTCCCAGCTACTCAGGATGCTGAGGTGGTAGGATCACTTGAGTCTGGGAAGTTGAGGCTGCAGCGAGCCATGATCGCGCCACTACGCTCCAGCCTGGGCAGCAGAGTGACAAACCCTGTCAGAAAACAACAACAACCACCAAGGAGAAATCAGAAGAAGATATCAAGTCCATGCAGGACTTCAGTTCCATAAGTAAAAAATCATAAAATCTGCACATAGTAATAAATGTTAGGAACAAGGCAGTTAAAGATTAGTAACAACCAGTTTTATTGGGATTTTAGAAACTTGCAGGGGAGAATGTGAGTGCTCGTTATATTTTATATACATCACAAAGTTAAAATTAATGAAAGTAGAAATAACATGCATTCACATGTTGAAAAACCCTGATAGTAATGCAGCTACAAATATTCACTGTCATTTGAGAGCAAGATTTTTAAGAAGTTAAAATGATTTGAATTACGCCATAACTATTCTAAACATCTACCAAATTAAACAAAGAATTTTGACTAATTGGGTACCCTTTCATAGGTTCTTCTCAGTTTGTCAGCTAGATGACATGTTCCTACACTGTACTTTCCTGATATAATTAAACCATGGATTATCTCTGAATTAGGCTGGGTACTACTGTGATATAATAAAAGGGAGCAGTAGCAGAACATAGTCTAGTTGTTAATAGCATGGACTTTGGAGCCAGGCTTCCTGGGTTCAAACTCCAGTCCACCATTTAGTACTCTTTGAAAAATGCCTATTTTTGTTCAAAAAGGAATATGTGCACTCTTCTTGGGAACAGCTGTAGTTTCCACAATATTTTAAAAGAGCTGTTGATTCCAACAGGAATTTAGTTCCCTAAAATCAGCGGCAGTAGAACATTTTGATGTACGAAAGTTATTCATGCTAGGACTCCGGTGGCATTTTCCCTCACTGCCCCTAAATTCAGCCATTTCTATTCTTTAAGGCTCTATAATAAACACTTGATTTGAAGTCTGACCCATTTTTAAATTGGGAACAGGGAAGACACCCCTCAAAAAGTCAGAACCTCCAAGCCTTTGGTCAGGGCCAACCATATAATCTCTGTGGGCCGATGTGAAATGAAAATATGACGCTCCTTGTTAAAAATGCAAGACAAAAACCTTCAGACTGAAAAGAAAAGGAATTGTGGAATGTCTTACCTTTTCTTTTCCTTTCATGCCATCACTTTTAGTGTAAGTGGTTAGCAAATATAATAAGGTTGCTTGGGCATGGTGGCTTAGCCAGTAATCCCACTTTGGGAGGCTGAGGCAGGCGAATCACTTGAGCTCAGGAGTTTGACACCAGTCTAGGCAACATGACAAAACCCTGTCTCTACAAAAAAATACAAAAATTAGCGGGGCGTGGTGGTGGGTACCTGTAATCCCAGCTACCTGGGAGGCTGGGGCAGGAGAACTGCTTGAACCTGGGAGGTGGAGGCTGCAGTGAGCTGAGATCGTGTCACTGCGCTCCAACCTGGGAGACAGAGCAAAACTTCATCTCAAAGAAAATAATAATTTCAAGACGGCAAGGGTGAGCCCTTCTGAGCACTTTGTACTTAGGTCCCTAACTACAAAATAAGTGGTTCATGGAAGCCATTTAATGAGCATCCTGAACACTGCATGACATGGGACAAAAAAACAGTGACAGACACACATTGCATGAATCACATCTGCTCACAAGATTGCTCCATTGCCTCATCAGACATAACTTACAAAACGTAAGTTCAAATATAAACTACTAAGCATTTCAAGATGGCCACAGCAGAGCATTAAACCAAATGCACAGCCCTTCTAAGCACTGGTTGCCTGCTGATGAAGCTGGCCCTACTCTCTGCTCTCACTTTTCACTTCATACTCTTCTGACCTCAAGCAACAAAAAAGCTCTCTGCCCATTCCTTCTTGATGCTTCTGTACATATAAGCCACACTGCCCAGTGGCAGTAAACTGAGGATTAATGGAGTTGGTCTGGTTAACTTGGAAAACAAGGGAGTTGTTGGCTGGAGAAGGGTGTTCCAACCTCTTCCACTCAAGCTAGGACGGGTCCCTAGATTAGAGCAAGCATGTGTTAGCTACCTTTAAAAAACAACAACACATCTTCATAAAGAACGCCTAGATTCAAAGCATTTATTACGTTTTCATTTGTTCCTTTATTGTCCCAGTGAATATTTACTACCTACTTCAAATTGCAACGAGATGCTGATAATTTAGCTATCGATAAAGCAGATGTAGTTCCTGCCCTTATTCAACTTCAAGAAACAGGCAATGAACGACAAGTCAGTGTCACAAGGAATACTCCAAAAATGCAGGGCACTAAGAAAGTGTAAAACAGATACGAAGGGGCTTTAGGGTCAGATAAGTCTTTCTGGAAGAATTCATCTGTACAGTGAAACTTCAGTATACATATGAGAAAGTCAGGCCAAGGGAAAGAATGTTCTTGACAGAACAGTATTGGCAAAAGTGGCAAGAATTTTAAGAAAATGTACAAGTGGTGGAACCAGGAATCGTGGGGCTCTTTAAGGACAAAATATCTTAAAGGAGTTTGAACTTCACCTTAAATGCAATAGGGAGCCACTGTCAAGTTTCCTATTTGATACTTGTTTTGTAAAAATATTACTCTATGAAGAATATAGGGAGTCTGCGGTCAGAGTGGGTACTAGTGCCATTTTGGGAATAAGATTAGGCTGGAAGCTGGATTGGGGGGAAAAAAGTGGGCATGAGAGAAACTTGGAAAGTAGAGTTGAGAAGACCGTGTGACTGACTGGACGGGCAAAGGTTAAGAGAGGATAAAGAATCATTAAGGATGATTTATCAGGCTTCTAGCCGGTAACTGGATGGATGTTGGTGCCATTTCTCGAGAAGAGTTAAAGAGCCAGAGGTAGCCGGCAAAGAGAAACATGGAGCTCCAATTTTCAGGTATCTGTAGTTTCCCTAATACCTCTTTAATCCAGAATTTGCTCCTTGCTTTGGTCTTAATTCCCCTAAAAGCTGCTTCCATGTTGCAAGCTGGCTGACCGCTTTAACAGGCAACTAAAGAGATTCTTCTCACAGGAGGAAGGCTTTGAGCACAACCTGGGACACTGGAAGCTGTCAGACTGAAGAAACAGGAAGCTTTGGACTACCGATCACACCCCGTCTTAAGGTTTCGGAGTGACTCCACCCGTAAAATCCCCACGACACTGACGAAAAGGTCCCGGCGGGTCGCCGCGACCCGACCACCGGCTCCGCCCCCGGGCCCGATGGATGCCCGGATGCGGACGTGAGCGAGTTTGCGCCACGTGACGTCGCCTGGCGGGGCGGGACTCTGCCTGCGCCGGTTGGTGTTGGGTGCACGTGACCGCCTCCCAGCCAACCAATGGAGGAACGAGGCGGAAAATTTCGAATGTGGCGACGGTAGTTCCAGGCGACGGGGTACGGTCCTGGAGGGCTCATTGCGCGTGGCTCGCGCGGAAGAGCCTCGAAGAACCTTGAAATGTGAGAAGGAGGAAGATAGCTCTTGCAGAAGTAGTGGCCAAGGTATGGTTCTGGACCAGCCCCACCTCCCCTCGGCTTTCCTCCTCCTGAAAGAGGAGGAAGTAGGTTTTAAGGTGGGAAACAAGGGCGTAGTGATCCGTGTTTGACTTCCCTTCGGTTCTCAATATCGTTCTAAATTCGGTGGCCGAAAGCTCGGGCTCTGGAGTCCCACTGGCCGCGCGCTTTTCGCAGTTCAGCCACTCGATCTGCCCTTTCAGATGTTCCGTCTTCCTCTTATATTAAATAAATGGAAACTCTAATATCCTACTTTGCAAAATTGTGTAGATTAAGTGATGTGCAAATAAAGCTTTTTACGGTAGTTAAAAGCCTGGCTTAACGCAAGAAAATGGACAGCAGTTCTTTGTGCAGCGTGATACCGTTGACGTCCTCCTTGTCCGGGCCATTCTCTTCCTCACTTACCCTGAAGAGGCCGGCACTGACTAGTGTCCTACCTGGCTGTCTTCGCAGCAGAACTGATTGGATAATTATGAACGGAGATCAAATATGCTAGGTTCTTTTGAATCCAGAGCGCCACGCGAGTCCTCTACAGATTGAGACCGTCATCTCGCGCTGTAGCCTGTCTTTGCTTTCATTCCTTCTGTCTACCACACCCCCTGCTAACACCATCGCCTAATTTAGACAGGATATAAAACTTTTGATATGGAAAGTTTCTTTTGTGATTTTAGCTTGATTAAAAGTAATAACGAAAACTTTAAAATACCTTAACTAAACTAGATCAGTAACTTAATCTGTATGACTCTCAAACATCTCCAGTTCTAACTTAATTGTGTAAAACAACCCCTTTACCATTAGTGCTTTTAAAAATAGCTATCCTATCTCTGCTAGGAACCTCCCAGTATATATTGTATATACCTTGGTAGAAAGTTCTTAATCTACAATATCTATATTTAAGATTCCAGACACTGCATAGAGGAAAATAAGACCTGGAGAACATACTCAAGAAAGTGTAAGGTTTAGGAAAATGTTTGACTATCTTAGAGAAGGTAACGATATCCTTTGTGGTGAAAATTGTATGCATACATTATTATTGGAAACAAGTTTTTTTTCAATTTTAAGATATTCAAAGTGCAATCTAGAGTAAAAGATGTTTCTGAAAAGTGGTTTGACATATTTAGTAGCATGCTAAAACCTACCTGACTTACAACATTGAGAGATTAAGTATACTTATGTATTTAATACTCAGCGTTTAACTGTATGTACAACAATATTTTATGTCTGATTTGTTATGTTCATAATTCACTAGGAGTTAACAGCCCTAAGTTTTAGCCATACTTTGAGAATACTGGAGTGTTCTTCTGCCCAAGTTCCTGCTCTAGCTCTGTAATTGTTACAATAGCCTAATAAAATTGTATGTAGTGCTACATAGTTTAAACCTCTAAGGATCACCTTGACTTTCTTGAGAGTGTGTGTATATCGTAAGCGATAATTAGGTTAAAATTATCTAATTATGGAAAAATAGTTGAATGACCTAATGTGATGAGTTAATCATTAAAGAAGAGCTGGAAAACAAAACCCAGATATATAATTGCCTCAGAACTAATGCTGTAAGCCTAAGCACTAAAAGTTGGTCCTAAACATTTTCTTTAAGAAGCATAAATAATAATGGCATCAAGATATAATAATAAGCATTTTCAATAGTGTCTGGCATATATGCCACAGTGAGTATTTGTTAAAGAATGAATAAGTGGCATATTGTGGAATCTTTGGGTTGGAAACCTATATTCAATAAAACTTTTCTATAAAGTGCCTGAGGAGGAAGAGAGAACATCAGAAATATGAATGAGATTTTAAAAGGGGAAAATTTATGTTATCAAGTTAGTTAACTATCTACTTTGAGCTAATTCTACAGTTTAGTCTATTTAATGCATTCTTTATGAACAGCCTATGTTTTTTAAAGTTTTATATTTGATAATATTCTCTCTGAGAAAAATTATTTTTTATTGTTTAGGAAAAAGATGGCCAAGGAAAGATGCCTGAAGAAGTCCTTTCAAGATAGTCTTGAAGACATAAAGAAGCGAATGAAAGAGAAAAGGAATAAAAACTTGGCAGAGATTGGCAAACGCAGGTCTTTTATAGCTGCACCATGCCAAATAATCAGTAAGAGATTTTTATGTTGTCCTTTTATATCACTTTTAAGTTTAGATTTAATAACTGATAAATTTTTTTATCCTCTTTTAGCCAACACTTCTACGCTGCTGAAAAATTACCAAGACAACAACAAAATGTTAGTTTTAGCTTTGGAAAATGAAAAATCCAAAGTGAGAGAAGCCCAAGATATCATCCTACAGCTGAGAAAAGAATGTTACTATCTCACATGGCAGCTATATGCATTGAAAGGAAAACTTACATCACAACAAACAGAAGAACCTGCTCAGGTATTTTCATTACTGAGGCCGAATTTCTTAGTTTAGTTAAGACATGAATAAGTAGTTTAGATCAATTATTTTATTTAAATGAATTACTGATAGCTCAATTATGCATGAATTGTTTAAAACATCCTTCTTTGGTGCTTCAGAGCACAGCTATTGCATTTGGCCAGTTAAGAAAGCTTCAAGCATATAGGTGATTGAAGCCTGTTCCTGCCTATTTCATTCGTAAAGCAGGTAGCAAGACAGGATGCAGAAGACATAGTTTTAGCCTTTTGCATTGCTGGTCTATTTGAATGTTCAACTAAGTGAGTCAAAGATAGTGCAACTAAGCTAAAGATATAAAAGTGGTAGTTGAAGTGGACTCATCCAAAAGTTTTAATCAATGCTATCTTAGCTTTTACCTTAGCCTTTTGTTTTGCTATATCCAGTGGGGTTTTATAAGAACTACCTTTATTTAGGACATAGGGAGTATTTAAGTGCTTTTTGGAGAATCGTTTTTACCTACTTGTTGGCTAAGTAGAGAAGACTGTTCACTCCCAGACAAGTAAGATCATAAACATTTTGCTGCTCAAATTTTCAATCTGATTCTCTTTTTGTCTAAGATTGTAAAGAAGGTGTTCAAATATGGTCCTGCTAGCCAAAATATAACAGATATGGAGAAGGTTTGCTTTAGGATATTCTTTGTGTCTTGCTGTACCATTGTGTATCATTATGTATACAGTAATGTGTGTCATTACTTATGAAAAAAGTAATGATGAGCTAGTTTATTTATCCCTTTTTCCAGTAGCTACTGCCAGGGAAATGGGGCAGAGAAAGAAAAAAAGCAGTGGTGAGTGTCAGGCGTACAGAACATTGAAATTCTTCCCAGTGGCCATTGCTTCGCTATACCAGTGAAAACATTTGAGTTGGCACTTAGACCAGAAGGTCAGATAAGAAAGTGAGAACATAATGATTAGGGGAGGGATATTGGGGGTGGGAGGAGGTGGGCGGGTAATTGAAAATGGAATTAATGTCACTTCTCCATTGACAGGAGGAGTCAGTGAAAGAGTTCTTGCTTCACTCCCTATTGATTCCTTATTTTTTTTCCTCCATGTGATTAAGACACGTGTAATATATATGTATATATACACATAGACAATAAGTACATATATGGTATATTTGAGAACTGCCTCTATAAAGATTAGGTATATTTTCTTTACCTTCATGGGAGGTTTATATGTGTGTGTGTGTGTGTATATATATATATATATATATATTTTTTTTTTTTTTTTTTTTTTTTTTTGAGACAGAGTCTTGCTCTGTCACCAGGTTGGAGTACAGTGGTGCAGTCTCAGCTCACTGGAGCCCCTGCCTCCTGGGGTCAAGCGATTCTTGTGCCTCTGCCTCCCAAGAGCTGGGATTACAGGCATGTGCCACCACACCTGGCTAATTTTTATATTTTTAGTAGAAACAGGGTTTCGCCATGTTGATCAGGTGTCTTGAACTCCTGGCCTCAAGTGACCCACCCACCTCAGCCTCCTAAAGTGCTAGGATTACAGGCGTGAGCCACTGTGCTAGGTGTGGTAGATTACTTTTTTTTTTTTTTCCCCAGAATGTAATCTTTTCTAATTTTGTATTTTCCTTGTTCAGTCAACTAGTAGGGGGAAACAGTTCCTCTAAAGGCATTTGAATCTTCCTCCTCCTTTTACAAAGTTTTTACTGAAAAACAGAAATAGTAGGAAGTGAATACTCGATGAGATAATTACAAAAGCAGTTGGGAAAAAATTCTATTACTGCAGCTCAGTGGTTTTTGAGTATTTATTAAAAACATTGTTAGTTGCTACGCAAATATATTCTTAGCATTTAGAATGTCAACGTTTGTATTTTCTGCTATATACTAATTGCTTGTGTCACTCATTCTCAACCTCATTGTACACCCATGCTTCAGTGCTTATCAAATCAATTTAGCAGTGATGGAGAAGCTTAAAATGTAAAAATTTTACAAGAATGTTTTCTTGCCTAGCCTAGCAATAGTTAACATTTAGGTAATTTTTAACAGCCTTTTTGTTCCCTAATTTTATAGATTTTTTTAATGACTTGTTTTTAAGTTATATTAGTATACATTTAAATGTTCTTTTTTATTTACCTGCATTAATATTCGTTTCAGAACATTAGCTACATTGATGTCAAATTTAAAGTTTTCATCTTTGGCCGGGGTAGGTTGTGGGGGACAGAGTCTCGCTCTTGCCCAGTCTGGGGTGCAGTGGCGTGATCACAGCTCACTGCAGCTTTCACCTCCCAGGCTCACGCACACTCAGCCTTCACCTCCCAGGTTCAAACGATCTTCCTATCTCAGCCTCCTGAATAGGTGGGACTATGGGCATGCACTGCCACACTTGGCTAATTTTTTCTTTTTTTTTTTTTTTTTGCCAGAGACAGGATCTTGCCATGTTGCCCAGGCTGGTCTTGAACTCCTGGTCTCAAGCAATCCTCCAGCCTTGGCCTCCCAATGTGCTGGGATTACAGGCATGAGCCACCACACCTGGCCGAAAGATTTTAATGGGATTAAATTTCTGGTTGTTTTGTTTTTAATGAACATTTTTAGCCTATTTATTATAATGTCAACATATATTCATCAAATTTCAGAAGATAATTCAATTAAATTAGAATTGGCTTCTTAGGAATTGAGTGAGAATTGTCATCTTCGTAACAGAGATCTACAAATCCACCTCTATACTTAGGTTCTTCATCTTCCCTCTTGTTACAGTGGCAGAATGGCCCCTATTCCTGCTAAAGGCAAGCACCACCCCAAGCCGCTCCCTAGCCCATGCGTCAGATTTTCTCTTCGCACCTCCTCTACAACTTTATTCCTGGAAGATTGTTCTCTCTTCCATATATCCCCCTCTCCACTGGATCATTTCAGTCATCATAAAGATGTGCTTTCGTATCTCTCAACCTTAGAGAAGAAGAAAGTAGTGAAACCTCTCCTCGTCTCATATTTCTTTATCTCCTCATTTGTTTTCTTCCCTTCACAGCAGAACTTTTAAAAAGAAAACAGTATATTCTTTACTTCCTCAGCTTCCATTCACATTTGAAATGACTCTTTTTTTTTTTTCTTTGAGACAGGATCTCGCTCCGTTGCCTAGACTGAAGTGCAGTGGCATAATCATGGCTTACTGCAGCCTTGACCTCCGAGGCTCAAGTGCTCCTCCAAACCTCAGTCTCCTGAATAGCTGGAACACCACCACGCCCAGATAATTTTTAAACATTTTTTTGTAGAGACCACCTCACTATGTTGCCCAGGTTGGTCTTGACCTCCTGGGTTCAAGCAATCCCCCTGCTTCAGCCTCTCTAAATGCTAGGAATACAGGCATGAGGTACCATGCCTGGCCTGCAGCCACTCTGAATCTAGATTTGATCCTTACCATTCTGTTGTCACTGCATATCAAGGTCACCAAAACCTCCATGTTACCAAATTCAGTGGTAACTTCTCTTTCTTCTTGACCTTGCAGTAATAATATGTAAAACAGGAACCACTCTTTACTTGACATACTTTGATCTATTAGTTTTCATGATATTATGCTCCCCTGGTTTTTATTCTACCTTTCTGACTATTCCATATCGGTCTCTTTTGCTGATTTCTTCCTCATTCTACCTTTAAATGTCAATTCTTGGCCAGGCACATTGACTCATGCCGGTAATCTGAGCACTTTGGGAGGCTGAGGTGAGAGGATCACTTGAGCCCAGGAGTTCAAGACCAGCCTGGGCAACACAGCGAGACTCCCATCTCTACAAAATAAAAAATAAAAATTAGCCAGTTGTGGTGGCATGCACTTGTAGTCCCAGCTACTTGGGAAGCTGAGATAGGAGGATCATGTGTGCCCAGGAGTTGAAGGCTGCAATGAGCTATGATAGCACCACTACACTTCAGCTTGGGTGACAAAGCAAGACTTTATTTCAAAAAATGAATAAATGCCAGTTGTTGTAGACTCATCTTATACCCTGTCATAGCTTTATGTACTGTCTGCTGATGCCTTCCCAGTTTATAGTACAGAATCTAAAAACAAACACATACACACGTATACACACAGCCACCATTTGCTATCTCCACTTAAAGATGTATAAGGGATCTCAAACATACCTTATATAAAGCACAACTTCCCCTTGCCTCCCCCAAAGATACTGTATACTTCCTACCTTCCTTTATAAGTCTTACTCATCTCAGTAAAGTAGCCTACCCATTTGCTTAGTCCAAAACCACAAGAGGCTTTCCTCTCCCTCATTGTTCCCACCTCCATCCCTTTTCAGTTCTTGAGCTTCACCTGTCATCTCAAGGCCTTCCACTGAGCTTCACCTCCATAGCCATGACTCTAATCTTAGCTGATACCGTCTCTTGCCAGATATGCTATGACAATCTCTCAACTCTTTCTAACCCTGGCCTCTTTTAATTCAGACTGATCTTTCAAAAACTTAAATCAGTTTACTTCCTTTCTTAATATTAAGTACTTTTCCATCATACTTAGACTGAAATCTAAACTCATGGTTCTCAAGGCCCTACATTATGTGGCCTCTGCATGTATAGCTCCTACTGTTCTCAGTGACTATGTTCCAGCCACAACAGCCTTTCTTTCCTAAACACAGCAAGATTTTTCTTATGTGTATTTGCTGTTTCCACTCCCTTCTTTTCCTCCTGCTCTTTCAGTGGCGGGCTCCTTTGCAGTCTTGTGATTTATATCAGATTCACTCTATTTAAAAGAGCAATCCAACCTGAGTTACTCTCTATCACCTCACCGTGGGTATTTCCTTCATGGCACTTATCACAATCTGAAATTTTGTACATATGTCTTCTCTTTTTAAAATTTTATTTCTCTGCACTAGAATGTAAGCTTTAAGAGGATAAGACTTACTCTGCTTTTGAGCTCTTATAGACTCAGTTCCTAGAACTATGGCATGGCACCATGGTAGACCGTCAACCAGTGCATATTGTTGAATAAGTTAATGCTTTCTTCTGAATACTTCAGTTATAACAGTGTTTTGTTTTAATACATTAACAGAACCAGGAAATATGTTCCTCTGGAATGGACCCCAATAGCGATGACAACTCCAGAAATTTATTTGTGAAGGATTTACCGTTAGTATCAAATTCTTTATTATGATTATTAATACTAAGAAAGATTTAATTCTGTGATTCATTTATGAAAGGAAATGTGCATCACGTCAACTCTTATATTTGTAGTCTGATGCTTTCTCTGCTGAGAATATATTTAAGAGAATTTGATGTGTTGAAATTCTATCACATATAGCCAAGCTAAACCCCTTTTTCTCATATTTCACTCCTTTTTTGATGCCTAGGAAAAAGAAGCCTTACCAGAATTTTTAATTCTACTTCATACTTTCCTTCAGTCATACTTTTCTGTGTACCATGTTTTTATTTTAAGAAGGATTAGCTATTGAAATGAGGTGTTTTGCTAGCCCTATAAATAGTCTGGTTTTGGGGAAAAATAAATAAATAAATGAAACATCATATTTAACACAGTTGTCCCATTGTCTCGCTGACCCAGTTCATTTTTCTAGATCACCTATACCCTCGTCCCCTTCTCTTGGATCAAATGTACTTTATTTATTTGTTTATGAATTATTAAGCTTTAATTATAAACAGTAAAATGCACAGATCACAGTTACACAGTTCGATGAGTTTGACTAATGTATATATCGTGGAACAAAAATGTCAATGAAGACATAGTGTTTTTACTATTAACATTTTGGGCCAGATAATTCTTTGTTGTAGAGGGCTGTCTGTGCATGATGGGATGTTTAGTAGCATCCATAGCCTCCACCCAATGAATCCCAGTAACATCCCTCAGGAGAACAGAAAATGACTTCAGATATTGTCACATGTTCCCTGGAGAGCATAATTGCCCTTAGATGAGAACTACTGCCATAGACAGTTCTTTCGTATGCCTTTCAAGTCCATCCCCTTCTCCACAGAAGTAACCACTAAGATGATTTCTATTGCCGTAGATTACTTTTAATCATTAGTAGTTTTTAAACTGTTGGACTTTAAGATCTGACAAACTTATGTTGTGGACAAAAAGTAAGATAAGGTAATCGCGTTTGTAGAAGTTTTCTAAAGTAGTTATTAGTTACCACAGCCATTACCTAAACCTGTTTAATGTCTAGAGTGGAAAATTCTCTACAGAGAATAAAGAATAAAATTACAATTAGAATGAAACTGCCAGTAATAGTGTTAGAGTATAAAGAACACTTCATGTTTCATGAAGTAAAGAACAACATTTTTAAAGAAAATGAACAATGTTAACTTCAGAAGAGTTCAATAGTTAAGCACCATAAAAGCATATATTACAAACAAATCATAGCTCTGCTAATGATAAAGCAGCCTCCTAAAGAGTGATCAAACTACATTTTTTAAAAAACATTTTACAAATTAATTATCATTGGCTGTTTCCTTAGTTAAATGAAATTGAGTTATATAACATGTTTTCAGGTGGAACTATCCAACTTGATAGGTTAGTTCTTCAAGTAGGAGTTGAATGTGAGTCATAACAAATCAATCTCCCTATAATCAGCATAAGTGTCCTTTGGTTTCCTTTGATACAGAATAGATGTATTGATTTGAAATCGAGTTATGAAATGATACTAAAGGAAAGAAAAATTAGGAAAATACTGAATTTCTTTTTATTACATAATCATTAAATTTCTGTTTTTTCATTGGTATTTTCTAAGGCAAATTCCTCTTGAAGAAACTGAACTTCCAGGACAAGGAGAGTTATTTCAAATAGAAGGTAATCAAGTGAAAATCAAAAAATATTATTAAGGGCAAGATAAGGTCTTTGAGAACAAATAATACAATTAAATTTCTCTAATTCTTTTTTTCTAAACTTTTTAAATTTGTTCATCTGGTATTCTGCTCAAAGGAAATCTGTTTATTTTACACAGAGTAATAGAGTTTTAAAATATGTTTATTATGTCAAATCTGTAATCTGAAACTTCGGCTATAACTATGGCAGCAATTTACTGATTGCTACTATGTGTCAAGCTCTATGTTAGGCATTTTACCTGCATAATCTCACCTAACCCTCACAACAACCTAGGAATATAAGTACATTAGTCCCCTTTTATAGGAACTCAAGAAGGTAAAGTATCTCATATGAAGAAGTCTAGATGTTAAGAGCTAGTATTTAAAATCAAAGTTGAACTCCAAAGCTATCCCCTTCTTACTACTTTTAAATTGATATGTCTGTGTTCTCAAATGTCAATCTCCTCCACTTGAACTACGCTTTGAAGAAGGGATAGTATTTGAATAGCAAAACCGGACATAGCCTCACTTTTCCTTAAAATACAGATTATATTTCTTACCTGAGAAGCTTTCTAGTTATCTAAATCTTATTTATTTTTCAAAGAACAACTTAGCTCCCACTTTCTCGTTTGTCCCACTCTGGAATATGCGGTTGTACTTCTCTGAATCTGTACTCAGTGAAACACATATTCATTTTCTTTAAACTAAGAGCACATAAAAGCCTGTTATAATTTTTTTTTTTTTTTTTTGAGACAGAGTCTCGCTCTTGCCCAGGCTTAGAGTGCAGTGGCGCAATCTCAGCTCACTATAAGCTCCACCTCCTGGGTTCACGCTATTCTCCTGCCTCAGCCTCCCAAGTAGCTGGGACTACAGGTGCCCGCCACCATGCCCGGCTAATTATATATATATATATATATATATTTTTTTTTTTTTTTTAGTAGAGACGGGGTTTCACCGTGTTAGGCAGGATGGTCTCCATCTCCTGACCTCGTGATCTGCCCGCCTCAGCCTCCCAAAGTTTGGGATTACAGGCGTAAGCCACTGTGCCTGGCCTATAATATTTTTAAAGATTATAAAGATTGAGTGTCCCTTATTCAAAATGCTTGGGACCAGAAGTGTTTTGGATTTATTTTTTTAATTTTGGAATATTTACATTATATCAGTTCATCATCCCTAATTTGAAAATCTGAAATCCAAAACCCTCCAGTTAGCATTTCCTTGGAGCATCATGACTGCACTGAAAAAGTTTTGGATTTCAGATTTTCAGATTAGGGATACTGAACCTATACAAGATTCTTTCACATGTCAGATATAAGCCATCAGTTGATCATTGACAAGTAAATAGATGGTATTATTTTAGTTCCCCAGATTTTTATTTACAGATTTTATAATGTAGGAAAACTACAGAATGACTTTTTGGTCATTCAATTTTTCCTTTGAATTCTAAAGTTCTTGAAATTCAATTTTCCACAAAGTCAAACTATTTTTCTCATTTTTTAAATTCTCAGATCAGATACCTACTATTCCTCAAGAAACACTGGGATTTGATTTTGATTCAGGTGAAGCTAAGTCCACTGATAATGTCTTACCTAGAACTGTATCTGTCCGTAGCAGTTTAAAGAAACATTGTAACAGTGTATGTCAGTTTGATAGCTTGGATGATTTTGAAACCAGTCATTTGGCGGGGAAGTCTTTTGAATTCGAAAGAGTTGGATTTTTAGACCCACTAGTAAACATGCCTGAAAATGTACAATACAATGTTTGTCAATGGAGCAAGGACCAAGCTAACTTATCGCTTTCAAAGCTGATTCATCCAGGAACATTTACTAAAACAAAAGAAGACATTTTAGAATCTAAATCTGAACAAACTAAAAGTAAGCAAAGAGATACACAAGAAAGAAAAAGAGAAGAGAAAAGAAAAGCTAACAGGAGAAAATCAAAACCTATGTCAAAATATAAAGAGAATAAAAGTGAAAATAAAAGAACTGTTTCCAAAAAGAAAATGCACAAATCTGTCAGTTCCAATGATGCTTACAATTTTAATTTGGAAGAGGGTGTTCATCTTACTCCTTTCCGACAAAAAATGAGCAATGAATCTAATAGAGAAGAAAACAATGAGTCTGAAGTGAGCCTCTGTGAATCAAGTGGTTCAGGAGATGATTCCGATGACCTCTATTTGCCCACTTGCAAGTACATTCTGAATCCCACCAGCGATTCAGGTACAAGACCAGTCACCAGGCCTCTAGCTAAAAGAGGACTGAAATATACAGATGAAAAAGAGACGGAGGGTTCTAAGCCAACAAAAACTCCTACTAGTAAGTGATCTACTTGTTTACCTGCGTTTTTAATGTTTGTGATAAATGATCACTCCTGATGCTTATATACTATACTTACCATCTGTTTCTCTGGTGGAGGTTGGAGACTTACCATCTGTCTCTCTTTGGGGGAAGTTATGGTCTGATTAAACTGTGTGGGGCTGGGTGTGGAAATCACAGTTGTATTGCTCTGACCTAATTCAGAGATTGCTTGTTGTGGAGACAGAATTTTTATTTTCAGTAAATAAGGACTCCCAAGAGGACAGAGGGACTCTTTTGTGGAGTTAGGTTGAATTAAAGTAGCTTTTATACACTTACCTGAAGTATCCCCTTGAAAGTGAAATCAAATTTGAATCCAGTGACTTGTTATTTTAATGGCCTTGTTTTATATTAAATTTGACAGGAACTATGATTTTAAATAATCTTCTAGTTAGTGAAGATTTCCTCAATTGATAGACTTAGTATTCTTTTGTACAACATCTCTAAAAACTGGCTCAGAAAATATTTTATGAGATCAAAAGTAGGCATAGTTCAGATGTTCATAATACAGCCTACACCGGTCCACAAAGATTCTCATTTGGCAGTTGTAGTTAATACAAGTAAAACTAACATACATAGTCAAGTTGTACCATTTTCAAAACATTGTTATATCATTTTATTTGATCCTCAACAATTCTGTGAAGTATAGGTGTTATGATGCTTATTTTGTTTATAAGGAGATTAAAACCTTAAAAACTGAACCAACTTTCTAAATCATTTAGTCAGTGGTAGCAGGCAAGTATCTTCTTAAAAATATGCTGTAGGCTAGGCGGGTTGGCTCATGCATGTAATCCCAGCACTTTGGGGGGCCGAGGTAGGCGGATGACCTGAGGTCAGGAGTTCGAGACCAGCCTGGCCAACATGGTGAAACCCCATCTCCACTAAAAATACAAAAAAATGAGCTGGGCGTGGTGGTACACACCTGTAATCCCAGCTACTCGGGAGGCTGAGGCAGGAGAATCGCTTATACCCAGGAGACAGAGGTTGCAGTGAGCCGAGACTATGCCATTGTGCTCCAGCCTAGGCAACGAGCAAAACTCGGTCTCAAAAAAAAAAAAAAAAATCAAACAAGATTGGCAGTGTTGATAATTATTGAACCTAGGTAACTCAGAGTTTATTATACTGTTACTGCCATCTTTGTGTACATTTGAAAATGTCCAGAAGAAGTTGGGATTTTTTGGTGGTGGTTCACTTTTTAATTGAGACAGGATCTTGCTCTGTCACCCAGGCTGGAGGGCACTGTCACTGTCATGGCTCAATGCAGTCTCAACCTCCCAGGCTCAAGTGATTCTTCCACCTCAGCCTCCCCAGTAGCCGGGACTATAGGCATACGCCATCACACCTGGCTAATTTTTTTTTTTCTTTTTTTTTACTTTTTGTAAAGATGAGGTCTCACTGTGTTGCCAGGGTGGTCTCAAATTCCTGGGCTCAAGCAGTCCTCCTGCCTTGGCCTCACAAAGTGCTGGGATTACAGGTGTGTGAGCCTGTATCCATAAAAATACATAAAATCCATAAAAAATACATTTTTAAAAGGGAAAAATATACTCTAAAATAGTGTTACTCAAGAGTTTGATCCCTAGACCTCTTAGAAATGCAGAATCTCAGGCCATATCCCATACCCTGGAGTCAGAATCTGCATCTTTGTGGGGTTTTTTTTTTTGTTTGTTTTGGAGACAGAGTTTTGCTCTTGTTGCCCAGGCTACAGTGCAGTGGCACAATCTCAGCTCATCCCAACCTCCACCTCCTGGGTTCAAGCTATTCTCCTGCCTCAGACTCCCGAGTAGCTGGGATTACAGGCATGTGCCACCACGCCGGGCTAATTTTGTATTTTTAGTAGAGACGGAGTTTCTCCATGTTGGTTAGGCTGACCTGAAACTCAACCTCGGGTCTCTCAGAGTGCTGGGATTACAGGCGTGAGCCACCGTCCCTGGCCATTAAGAAGTCCTCCTGTGGATTCATATACACATTAAAGTTTGAGAAGCGTTTTTCCAGAATGTAGCCACCGATCTGATATTGTTCCATAAGATATATTTCTCAAACTGAAAGTTGGAATAATTAATACAGTACAATATATTTATGTGGCAACAAACAGGACAGACTATAAAAACCAGATAACACTGGAGCATATGGCTCTTAGTATACAGTCATTTCACGGTTATAGTTTACTTTTTTGGGGGTACAGTTTGCTTTTTAAAGCTATTTGAGGAGATTGTTTTGCAGTGTCTTTACTATGTGTTGGACATTTGCCTTCCAATATAGGTGTAGCTCCAAAGTATACTTGAATGTTTATGATGGGAAAAAAACTGAGTAACTTTTTAACATGCTAGTTTGTCTCCTGGTTTACACAGAAGCTGTTATTTAGAATTCTCATTTGTTTAATAGAAGGAATTTTAGCGGCTTTATAAGACTATAGGAAGAGACTTGATAAAAACCTTGGTATTGAAAGAGAGAGGACTTGATTCCAAATAGCAAGGTATGACTAAAATGAAATTCCATGGTTAAACTAACTTATTATTCCCAAGCTATCCTAGAAGAATTTTAAGTTTTAGTGAAGTGTTCTGTTATAATTAATATTTCAACAATAGTTTGAAAGGAAGAGGAAAAAATGATGAAAAAGCCAAAAAAAAAAAAAAATGTATTATTGGCCGGACATGGTGGTGCACACCTGTAGGCCCAGCTCCTCAGAAGACTGAAGCAGGAGGATTGCTTGAGACCAGGAGGTGGAGGTTGCAATGAGCTGAGATCACACTACTGCACTTCAGCCTGGGCAACACAATGAGAGCCCATCTAAAAAAAATTCTGTTATTAAATGCTGGATTTTGTATACAGTTAAGATATATAAAATTGAGTACAATTTTAGTTCCTGTGTGGGTTTTTTTAATTTAAATCATTCAGTAAAAATTATTTTGTAGGTACACCACCTGAAACTCACCAGTCACCTCATCTTAAACTGAAGGATATCACCAATGTCTCCTTGTATCCTGTTGTGAAAATCGGAAGGCTTTCTCTTTCTCCAAAAAAGAATAAAGAAAGCCCAGCAGTGGCTCTGCCTAAACGTAGGTGCACAGTCAGCGTGAACTATAAGGAGCCCACCCTCACTTCGTAAGTATTTGGTTTGTGGGAACTTATTTTTAATGATACATGTCGGGGGAATAAGGTTATGGAGCTTTGTTCAATAATGAGTTTTTTCTGAAATAAAAACATTTGATTTTAAAAAACTGAAGTGGTAACATTTAAAATTGGTGTATTTTACCATAACTTGATACTGAGGAGTAAGTTAATATTGGGATGCTTATATTATGCCTGAGATCTCTTTTTACTCTTCCAGGAAACTGAGAAGAGGGGACCCTTTTACAGATTTGTGCTTTTTGAATTCTCCTATTTTCAAGCAGAAAAAGGATTTGAGACGTTCTAAAAAAAGTATGAAACAATTACAATGAAGGTTTTGTTGGATATTGTTTAAATTCAATCTACACCTCTTTCTGTTGCTTCAAGAGAGGATCTGTAAGAGTACACAAACAGAGTGAGCCATTGCCATAGAATATTCTCTTGACAGGACCCTAGCTCATAAACGTTTCTTCAGAACTATGCTTCAAATGGGATGTTTTGTATTAAAATGTTAATAAATCTAATTTGTTTTTTCTTTTGAATATAAATAACTAAACTTAAGCATTATCATCATACCGATTTCTTATGCTGCCTAAACCCCTTAATGTTGGTCAAAATGTATCTTTTTTTGTTGTTGTTGTTTTGGAGACAGAAATTCATTCTTGTTGCCCAGGCTGGAGCGCAGTGGCGTGATCTGAGTTCACTGCAACCTCTGCCTCCCAGGTTCAAGCTATTCTCCAGCCTCAGACTCCCGACTAGCTGGGACTACAGGCATGCGCCACCACGCCCAGCTAATTTTGTATTTTTAGTAGAGACAGGGTTTCTCCATGTTGGTCAGGTTGGTCTCGAACTCCCAACCTCAGGTGATCTGCCCGCTTCAGCCTCCCAAAGTGCTGGGATTACAGGCATGAGCCACTGTGCCCAGCCCAAAATATATCTTTTTTTTTTTTTTTTTTTTTTTTGAGACGGAGTCTCGCTGTGTCACCCAGGCTGGAGTGCAGTGGCGCGATCTCGGCTCACTGCAAGCTCCGCCTCCCGGGTTCCCGCCATTCTCCTGCCTCAGCCTCCGAGTAGCTGGGACTACAGGCGCCCGCCACCACGCCCGGCGAGTTTTTTTTTGTATTTTTAGTAGAGACGGGGTTTCACCATGTTAGCCAGGATGGTCTCAATCTCCTGACCTCGTGATCCACCCGCCTCGGCCTCCCAAAGTGCTGGGATTACAGGCTTGAGCCACCGCGCCCGGCCCCAAAATATATCTTATACAAACATTTTAGAAATGAATAATGATTACTCAAATTAAGATATTTTCGTTATAAGCTTCTGGCATCTCTATTTTTCCCTTAAGTGGGGGATACTAAAGTGAATGATTTTCTAAGAGGATCTTTTGAAACCCTTCAGTACAGTATTTAAGTAAAATAAATTATTGTGGATCTTTTGAAACTCTATGTAGTATTTGAATAGAATAAATTTTTGATATTTACAGTAGGGTACCCCCTAAGTTGTTTATGAATTCCTCATACCACTGTTGTATTTAATTTTTCAGATAAAATGTGTATGGAAAAATGACTAGAGAAATTTATTGTTTTTTAGGCTCAGGGACTAGGTAAGTGACTAGTTCTGAACCCCAAGCTCTAATTGTATGTTCAGAGTGATGCCTCAATAAAATTACAAATGTCATGTACTTTCAGGATAGCTCCTTATTTAGTCAGAAATCTGAAAGATTAACTGTGTGAATATTTAGGGTTTTTGCATATTTTTGATCAGCCAACGAAAGGGAATTAGTTCAGTTCAGAAAGTTTGATGTCTATACTTGTATATACCTCTTTAAATTTTAAAACTTTGTAGGTTATTCATTTTTAAAGAGCAATAAAGCTTGTATAAGATAGTGACTGCTTTCCTTCTATTCTTTAAATATCAAAAACAGAATATCTCTCTGTCTTCACTATTCTCATCCTTGGACATTTCTTCTCCCCTCCCCTTGGTATTCTCTTTTTTGGGGGCGGGGGTGTGATCTAGGTGAGTTAATCCTTAGTATTTTCAGTAGTCATTGCTGTGAAACTCTCAGCTTCCCCTCCATACTTTCAACCTAACACTTCTCTCTCCCAACTTTTCTCTATGTAATCTCCCAGTTCATGATTCACAAATTATAATTTTATGGGGGGATCGTTCTAATCCTGATATCTCAGATTTTCTTGGCTGTTATCTCCCTATCTTTCTGTATTCTATGTCAGTCAGAGCCGAAATCCTTTTCATCATCCCCGATTTTTCTAGCCCCGTCATCACTGATTCATATACCCTAGTCTCCCATCACAGTCTCTTAATTTTTCAGTTTTTTTTCTTACTACTCCCTTTATACTTATTCTTTAAATTCATGGAAATACTAGAGTAGCTATCTTAAACTAAGACTAGACAGTAAAAAAGTCCGTTTCTCGGCTGGGCGGGTGGCGCACGCCTGTAATCCCAGCACTTTGGGAGGCCGAGGTGGGCGGATCACGAGGTCAGGAGATCGAGACCGTTCTGGCTAACACAGTGAAACCCCGTCTCTACTAAAAATACAAAAAATTAGCCAGGCGTGGTGGGGGGCACCTGTAGTCCCAGCTACTCGGGAGACTGAGGCAGGAGAATGGCGTGAACCTGGGAGGCGGAGCTTGCAGTGAGCTGAGATGGCGCCACTGCACTCCAGCCTGGGCGACAGAGCGAGACAATGTCTTTAAAAAAAAAAAAAAAAAAAAAAAAGGTCGGTTTCTCAATCCCTGTAACCACCTTTCAAGTGATCAGTGGCTACATGTGGCTATATTAGACAATTGAGGAAATATTGAACATTTCCATCATCACAGAAAGTTCAGTTGGACCATGGGCCAAATCTAGCACACCACCTGCTTCCGGATGGCCTATAAGCTAAGAATAGTTTCTGCGTTTTTAAATAGTTGGAAAAAAAAAAAAGCAAACACTTGAAATCAATTTTAGTGATAGAAGCACTAACTTTGAACCCCAGTAAAGTACCTACATTATATTCTTGACTTTGCCTCTTGGCCTACAGTCCTAAAATATTTACTTTCTGGTCTTTACCAAAAACGTTTGCCAACTCCTGCTCTAGACCATTGAGTACTTTAATTTTTGCCTTAAAGATCATTCTGCTCTGACACTCTGATCTAGCTGTGATCCTTCCCTTCCCTTCATCCCAAGAGTCAATCATTATCCTAAAATCAGTGTTAAAGTGTTTGTATTTGTAATGTTCCTATAATCTTGTCATATTTATCCATAGGCTTTTAAGTATTGTTTTATATCTTAACATTTTATATGAATATTATGTTGTACGTATCATTTTACAACTGACTTTCAGCATTGTTTTTGAGATTTATCCATGTTGGCAGATGTAGATTATTTTCATCATTGTACAGTTTATTATATAAATCAGACATACTCATTTCTTCTTTTCAGACACAATTCATTTCCACTTTATTATTTACAAATTAGTGCTGCAGTGAACATTGTGCATCTTTGTACACTTAAAATGCTTAACTTTCTATAAAGTTAATACCTAGAAGTGGAATTGCTCGGTTGTAGAGTATATTGAACTGTAGGAAATTGCTTCCTGCAGTGGTTGCACCAATTCTGTTATAAGGAGTATATCACTGTCCTAACAGCAATTTCTAAATTCCAGTAGCAGCACACGCTGTCGATCACTTAGTTTTATTAGACATTAAAATTAGCCAAGCCAGGAAGTATGAAATTATTTCTCTCTCTGTTTTAATTACTATGAACTTGTATCTCATTGATTTAATTACTTATGAGAATTCAAGTGTTTATTATTCTCATTTCTTCCTTTATGAATTATTATACCTTTTCCCTGCTTTTCTACTAGAATGTAAAACTATGGATTTTTTATATAGTCTGCATACTAGTCCTTTTTTCTGTTTACATGTATTCTAAGTATCTTTCTTCAATCTCTGCCCTTTTTTATACCTTGCTTATAATTCCCTTTGACATTTAGAAGCTTGAAATATTAGTATCCTCCACCACCTTCTTCCTTAAGATTTTGTCTAAAATTTGTACAGTTTTGTTTTTCGCTTTAAGGTCTTTAAACCATATGGCATTTATTTTGAGTACTAGGGATCTAATTTTATTTTTTCCCATGAGGATAACCAGTTGTCCCAGCAGAATTCATTGACTAATGTCTTCTTTCCCCACTGCTGAATATTCCTAGCTTTGTCATAGAATGGGCTTCTTTCCATTGCTTTGTTTAGCTTTATGCTGGGTATATTGTATAGTCACAATTTTTTGTGTGTTGGTGGAGGTGGTAAATGTACATAGAATTTATCATTTGATCTTTTTAAGTTTTTTTTTTTTTATTCTCATTCTGTCACCCAGACTGCAGTGCAGTGGCCAATCATAGCTCACTGTAGCCTCAAACTCCTGGGTTCAAAGGATCCCCTTAACCTAGGACTACAAGTGTGCACCACTGCACCTGGCTAATTTTTTTTTTTTTTTTTTTTTGGTAGAGCTGGAGACTGTGTTTCCTAGGCCTGTCTTAAACTCCTGGCCTCAAGCAATCCTCCCATCTCAGCCTCCCAAAGTGCTAGGATTGCAGGCATGAGTCACCACACCTGGCCATTTTGATCATTTTATTTGTAAAGTTCAGTAGCATTAAGTACATTCACATGATTGTACACCCTTTTCCAGAACTTTTTCTTCTTTCCAAACTAAAACTCTGTACCCATTAAACAATCACTCTGCCTTTCCTCTCTCTCCCAATCTTTGGTAACCACTAGTTTTACTTTCTACCTCTATGAATTTGACTGTTTCAGGTAACTAACAGAAATGGAATCATAGGATATTTGTCCTTTTGTGTCTGGCTTATTTAACTTAGCATAATAACCTCAAGGTTCATCCATATTATAGCATGTATCAAAATTTTATTCCTTTTTAAGGTTGAGTAATATCTCATTGTATGTATACATATTTTCTTTATCCATCAATGAACATTAAAGTTTGTGTATCTTTGAAGAAATGTCTATTCAAATCCAATACGCTATTTTTCGTTGTTGTGTTTTAGGCTATATATATATTAGATATTAGTCCCTTATCAGATATGTGGTTTCCAAATGTCCTCCCCCATTCTGTGGGTTGCCTTTTTACTCTGTTGATAGTGTTCTTTGATGTACAATAGTTCTGAAATTTGATTGAATCCAATTTGTCTATTTTTTTCCTTCTGTTTTCTTCTAAGTCATAATTCTTTTAATACCTAGGTAGGATTTGTTTGCTAACTTTTTTTTTTTTTTTTTTTTTTGAGAGGAGTCTCGCTCTGTCAGCCAGGCTAGAGTGCAGTGGTGCAATCTCGGCTTACCTCAACCTCTACCTCCTGGGTTCCAGCGATTCTCCTGTCTCAGCCTCCCAAGTAACTGGGATTACAGGCGTGTGCCCACCATGCCCAGCTAATTTTTGTATTTTTAGTAGAGTTGGGGTTTCACCATGTTAGCCAGGCTGTTCTCAAACTCCTGACACCAAGTGATCTGCGTGTCTCGACCTCCCAAAGTGCTGGGATTAC